CATTTAATTTACAGCTTTATGAGGCAGTTACTAATCTTATCCCTGCTTTTACAAATGAGAAAAGTTAAGGCACAGAAGAGTTAGGACACATGCCCAAGATCACACAGCAAGTAAAGGCAGAGCCAGGTTACTAATCTCTGTCTGGTGGGCTCCAAGGCCTTAACATGAAATTACCAAAGGGTAAACCAAACCGAATCTGTTTCCTTTGAATCAATTCCGACTCATAGTGACCCTATAGGATAGATGAGATCTGCCCCATAGGGTTTCCTAGGCTGTAATCTTCACAAAAGTAGACTGCCCACATCTTTCTCTTGTGGAGCAGCTAGTGGGTTCAAACCACTGACATTTTGGTTAGTAGCCAAGTGCTTAACCACTGTGCCACCAGGACTCCTTTTAACCTGGCCACTCCTCCATAAATAGTTTCTCCATTGATCCATTGATCCATCCAAGTAGGCTTTTATTTCTGGCTAGAACCCTGACTAATTCTCATGCTTAATGGAAAAGGAAGTCAAGACCGAATCTCTGCCCCCAAGGCCTCCCCTTCCCTTCCGCCACTGTACACAAAGATACCCTTGGTTGACTAGTTGACTGTGTACCTCCCGGGGCTTATGACAGGCCCCCTCCATACCCCTCTAACCATCCCCAAAGGGGAGAGCCAAATTTGCACGTGGTCCCATTTGCACACTGTGGCGTACACCCTTGGCTTGAATCCACATCTGGCCTTCAAGCCACACGTTTGATTTGGCCAGTGTAATCAACGTTTGGATGTCATTAGAAGGGACAACTTCCTCCCAGGTCCACCTGGGCCCCACCACTTCCTGTGGCCTCTCTCCAGGTCACTGCCCACATCCATGGTGTCTGCCTGACTCTGGACCAGAGTTGGCCTCTGGATAGGGACAGCAGAGTAGGGTAGAGAAGCGATCATTTGGCTCTTCAGATAAATGTTTAAAACTGATTTACATGTGGATCAAATAATTTTATTCCACTTTTCCAAAAACCCATGCTATTTTTAATGGTGTACTTTGCTTATTACCACTTGTATTATAAATAAGAATTTTGACTGTATGATAACACCCCAGTTTCACGAAAGCAAGATGTCAGCCATCTGGAGGTGGGGTGTGCACAAAGTCATGGCCCCCACTTGGAGGTGCAACCAGTCACTAGAAGGGTCACCCACTTGAGTGAGGTGAACATTAGCTGACTAAAGTCTGGGCAGACGGGCTCTGGCCTTCAGCTGGAGCAATCACGTCATAGATGGCTGGTTCTTTAGCCCACACACGGACACACACTGGCCACTCTGTTTAAAGTGATAGACACCACACGTGGAAACCCTTTCAGACCGGCACGTTTCCCTAAACATGGCTAAATACATCCTATTCCAGTTCTCAAAAATCATACGGGGCATTTGAGACCCGGGAGGCCATTAGCTTCTACAAGAGCCACAAGTAGCAAGCCCACACAAAGCAAAATTGCCCTTTCAAAGTTCTCTGTTCTTGTAAAAGTCATGGAAGTCAAGTTCTCAATGCTGGTATGCCTTCCAAGTATCTTTTTAAATTCGTTGTTCGTTTCACTATAATAATGCAAATAATAAATGTTCTTTGCCTAGAACTACAAAGATAACAAAAATCTTTCAAAAGATATTTATACTTGGGTTAATTTGAAATAGTTCAGCAGTTGACCTAAGTTCATCTGTCCCACCGACACGCAAAAAGATGAATTTCTGAGCACTCATGTGTACAGAACGTTGATATATTTATCACATATGCACACAAACATATATCATTATAAATGTACCTGCCCTATTCCCCACTACCATCTTGGTACTCATATGTCTGTGTGTGTGTGTATGTGTGTAATTAGGGCTTGAAGCAAGGAGGATTTTCAGAAAACTGAATCTATTCCCTTTGTTTAGATGAGAGAAAAGAGACATTCCTTCAGATTGCATAAAAGTAGAATTTCGTGGTTGTTTCTGGTTTACCCCAAATACAGCTGAGATTTTGTTTTAATTAAGAGTAAGAACCATTTCTTAGTCTCATTGATCCATAATTTTGATCCAATAATTAAATTTAGAATCATTAGAAAAGGTATTTGGGTTACTAAGACCCAAAGCCTCCTTTTTCTTCAGTAGTAAGGAACACATATGGAATTGTATAGATTCCATAGAAAATGACCTCTGCTGTCCATTTCTCTTAGCTTCCCAAACCAGATGAAAGGGGGATCAGACAACAGAATTTCTCCTTGTGCACATATAAACACACTTAACCAAGCATATACATACTTCTGCATTGTGTCTGTGCTATACCAAAAAAAAAAAAAAGTTTATACTATACTTTTTGGAACTGTAACTCTAAAATACTATGCTTTTAAAATAGCAGTATTAAATCATCGGCTGCTCTAGAAAATAGCCAACAGAAAATTAACAAAATACACAAGACAGCAAAGCAAACACAAAAAGGAAAAATTAAAACAGCACAATTACCAATTTTCCTTTCTGCCATTAAGGCAGTGCCTACCGGCCCTCATGCAGCTGGTCCCTTCTCCTTCCATCTGAGGACCTGCCCTCCTCAGAAGCCTGGGCCCCTGAGAGGCTGACATGATTCCCAAGTATAATCCCAGTCTCCTCTTTCTTATTACACTGTTTGTTTATTTCCCCCAGTGATCCAGTGAACCAGGCAGGGAGAGGTTAATGAAAACCCAACTTTATTCACAGAGGCTGGGAGTTTGGGATAACAAAATATCCAATGACAGCCCTTCCACCCTGTTTTCAGTTTATCTCAGTTTGCCTGGATCTCAGCAAGGTGGCCTCCTCAAAATCCCTAAAACCAAGGACCCTCTGCAGTTCCCCCAGAGTTTTCCCACTAGCCAGGTAGAACTCAGTCCTGTAAATGTTTCTGGGTCTGTAGCTCCTGGATCAGCATGGTCTTAAGAATGAGTTTCCAGAAAGTCAACTCTGTGCCTACTATCTGTCATTAAACAATTCCACTTGCCTGAAATGTCTTTTCCAATATTATTAACCAACCAAAACCAAACCAGTTGTCATTAAATTGATTCTGACTCATGGCAACCCCACATGCGTCAGAGTAGAACTGCTGCACAGGGCTCTCAAGGCTGTGATCTTTTTGGAAGCATATCACCAGGCCTTTCTTCTGTGGTGCCTCTAAGTGGGTTCCAACCTCCAACCATTTTGTTAGTAGTCAAGCTACTAACCAACAGGCCCTCTTGATTTAAAGTTTGTACTAATTTGTATACAAGTCTTGGAAATTATTCTGAAAGTTATTTTGAAGACCCCCCTCCATCTACCCCCAAAAATTTGTGACTTTTTGTATCTTGCCTGCACCAGATAAAATAAAATTTACCTGGAGGTTTAAACCCGTTGCTGTCGAGTCGATTCGGACTCATAGCGACCCTATAGGACAGAGTAGAACTGCCCTATAGGGTTTCCAAGGAGCGACCGGTGAATCTGAAATGCCAACCTTTTTGTTAGCAACCCTAGCCCTTAACCACTATGCCACTGGCATTTCCACTTGAAGGTTTAGGAAGTCAAATCTCAGAATCCCCATAATAACCCAAATACAGACACCGGAAGAGGTCCGGTGCATTTCCAAAGTGTTCCAAGTTGAACTGGGCTGTGAAAATCTCAATTTTCTTAACCAGATCCTTGTTACAGAGCCCTGCCTCCCTCTCCACCCTCCTGCAGACTTCCAGCCATTTAGTTAAGGTGTTTATTTAACTGCAGGCTTCAGGCCTGCCAGGTGGGGGCTTGGAGGGAGGAGCTGGTGGTGGGCTGGGGATCCGGTAGGCTGAGGATGTCTGAAAGAACCCTCCCATCAAACCTCTGCTCTTTGGGGTCCAGAGAGGCCCCTCTAGCCAACACCAGGAGATCCCTCACCCTTCCAGGCACTAACCCATCCCTCTCTCCATCTGCTTTCTGTTTGTTTGTTTCACCAAACTTGTTTGATTAAAAGTAGTCCTTAGCTACGTATATCTGGAAGGTGTAACAAAAACCAAACCTAGGTCTTGAAAAAACATGGAAATCGAAAAATCTGATGTTGTCTACGGCATCCTCCCTCCCCCTCACACCCTTCCGGTGTCCCTTGAAATCTTTTGATCTCTTAAAAGAAAAAACAAAGATAAGATGGCTGCTATTGGCGGTTACAAGAATTTCAAAACGTGTGTGTTGACTAAGGGGCTATCGTAATGGAACCCAACGCTATATTATACATAGTGCACTTTCTTAATAGAAGTTGTTAATACAGAGGTTTTCAAAGAGCAATCATTATAGTAAAAGAGTCACGTATTTAGGCAAAGAATAAAGCGTGTTCCTTTTACAGTCTAGAAAGAAGACAAAAATTCTCTACTTGAAATAAAAATGTTACTGCTCTTGGTGGTGTCTCAGCTTCCACTTTGACATTGGCCAGGCCGGAGATCTCAGGGAGAACCTGAAACACAGAGGTCATCCCCTGTGCCTCCACGACTGGACTCCAGGGACAAAGTCAGCTTCGAACAGAACACCCACCACCCAGACCGGCTCAAAGCCAAGCCTGGGCCACACAGCAGGAACTGAGCTGGCGACGACGGGCAGACCGCGGTTCCCAGATGGAAGAGACCACACTGTGTCCGTCTGTCCTGGCCTCGGGCTGTCTGGGTGTTCGGGTCCCCGTAAGGCGCAGGACCTGTGGTGGGTATCGGAAAGTGACGACATTAGACCGGCCTGAGGCCAAGGAATTGCGCGCTGAAGCGTCTGGGATGCCCAGTCCCGGCGGGGACCAGTCTGTTAAATCTCTGAGGCCGCTAGCGGCGGCGGCGAAGGGTCTGCTGCGGAGGAGCAGGCGGGGGTCCCCCTTGAGCGCAGAGCTTGAAGACACTTCCCAGAATCCTTACGTCGGCAGAGGAAAAGACAATTTGTAAAAAAGATCAGGACTCCTTCCCTCACCAGTGGCCGATTGCTCAGAGACTCAGGCCGGGGGTGGGGGTTGGGGGTGACCGCGCCACTGCTGGCTTTACTGGAAGTGAAACACCGTGTCCGAGAGCTGCAGGGGGAAATAGGAGAGGAAGGGGATTCCGAGCTGGTAAAAACCGCCCTGCACGTGCGGGTCGAGCATCAGGGAAGCGTTGAACGGCGGGCGGAGGCCGGCGGAGCTGTCTAGCAGCGACGCGCCCACTCCGCCGCCGGGGCCTGGCTTGGCGCCCCCCGGGAGCTCGACCCTCGCTGCGGGCTCCGGGCTCGGCCTCCCCGCGAGGATGCTGTCTATGCTGAAACTCTTGGCCTTGTCTGCGCCTTTCGGAGAGCTTCGGGAGGCGGGGCGCGGAGGGCACCCGGGGCTCTCCGCCTTGCGCCCTGGCTGGCCGACAGCCGCGCTTGCTGCGCCCTGGACAGCGTCGCGCGCGTACTCGTCCTGGGACCCCGGCCCCGGCCAGGGGATGGGAGCCCGCAGAGAGGGTCCGTCAGGGGACGGCGAGGGGCGCGCGGGCGCTCCGTCCTCAGGGCGGGGGGTCCCGGGGCAAAGGGATGCTCCTTCGCCCTCCGCCTCGGGCTGCGTCTCTGCTCTGGCCCGCTTGGACTCGGGCACCCCAGGGCCCGGCTTGGGCTTCCTCTTGCGGCGCCGGTAGTTGCCGTTCTCAAACATGTCCAGGCAGCGGGGGTCCAGCGTCCAGTAACTGCCCTTGCCAGGCCTCCCCTTCTCGCGCGGCACCTTGACGAAGCAGTCGTTGAGAGAGAGGTTGTGGCGGATGCTGTTCTGCCAGCCCTGCCGGTTGTCGTGATAGAAGGGGAAGCGGTCCATGATGAACTGGTAGATGCCATTGAGCGTAACCCGCTGCTCGGGCGCGTCCTGAATGGCCATGGCGATGAGCGCGATGTAGCTGTAGGGCGGCTTCTGGGGGGGCTCGGCCCGGCCCGAGGCGGCCAGGGCGGCTGCGGGGGCGAAAGCCAGTGGCAGCCCAGGCTGCTCAGAGCCGTACAGGTAGAGCAGGGGTGAGGCAGCCAGGGTTGGCAGCTGCGGGCAGAGGAGGTGGCTCATGGCGCGCAGAGCCGGCGCTGCGCTCCCCGCGGCTCAGGGACCGCGGCCCGAGCCACCAGAGCCCTCCCGGGGAGCCCGCTGCACCGCTGCCTCCCGCTCTGCTGCGCTCCCCGGCCGCGCCGAGCTCTGGCCCTCCTTCATGGCCTTAGAAATGTTAAATAATTGTTGTAAGTTTGCTATTATATGTTGACTTAGCGCTGGAAAATAAATTGTCTATGATAAACAGTCGTTGTGTTCTCAGCCCACCCACATTAATTAAAATTTCATTGCTGAAAAACTCCAAGCTTTTCCCTCCACGTGTCTTTTTGATACCAGCCAATCGGTTTCGGGGCTATTCCTTCATTTGTTTATAGAATTAGTCTGTTGATAAGTCCGCCCACCCAAGTTGAATCAAGCTGTGTTTATTTGGAAAAATTTCCGGGCACCCAATATATAAACGCACTGATCTGATGTTTGAAATATCACGTCCACCCCTTGACGCTGTAAGCACACATAGTCAGAAGGCAGGATGTGGACCGCGGTGGCTCGGTGCGGTCCGTGGGCCAGGGCGGAGAGGTGGAGGTGGGGAGGGGGCGCAGGGGTGGCTTTTCCGCCTGACCTGGGGAGCCCTGGCTGGCCTCCCACAAAAGGGGCTTTTCTTTTCACGGGCTTAGTAGGAGATGTGGAGATGGCACCATGTCGTAAAATGTCTTCTGAGATCCTTGAAAGCTTTTAGAGATCTTGGGAGGTGGGGTAGGGAGGAAGGAGGCGTGTCCATCCAAGAAGCTGGGGTGTCTGATGAGAAGGGGACACAGCTCTCCCTGGAAAGATACCCATCAGGCCCTATATGCCGGAGCATTCTCTAGGGGCCTAGTATCCCCAAGAAAGGGGGGCTTCCGGGACTCCCGGGGCATCTGCGGAAGGGGATGAGCTTATTCCTGGTGCCCAGTTTCTCTAGAACCCAGTCTAGGGCACTGAGGAGCTGGCGAGGGTGTGGGGTACCTGGTCCATAGCTTGGTTGAGGGAGGTTTAAAAATAAACCCGTTTGGAGAGTTGGGGTGGGGGTGGGGGGTTGGAACTAAGGTCTTTCTGGTCCGGTTGAGGTTGCGAGCGAAGAACACCATAAAAGGGGAATTTGGCAGCTGACGCGGGAGAGCTGGTATTTGTGAATGCGGGTCTGTTGCTTTATATTCTGCGCTTTCCTGTTTATAACAAGGAGGGGGGTTATAACAACTTTACAAGTGCACGCAGCTGGCCCGTGATTACATTTAGCGTTTGGGAAGCCTGCTTGCCTCTTCCCCCACCCACCCACCTTGGGGTGTAAGCAACCCTCCCCTCTTGTTTTGCGTTTAGCCACGTCAGGGTTTGAATCAAAAAATCGTGAGGATGCTGATTGAGAAGGAGGGGTTTCTTCCCCCTAGTCCACCGCGTTAACGGGGGTGGGGGGGCGGGTGACATGTAGCGTGACTAGTTCCTGTTTATGATCGCTGATGAATATTTTTTTAAGGAAAAAACAAAACACGCAGTGTAACTGAATTCGCGTCTCATTGAGTAAAATAGGAGGCGAGGCCAAAGAGGAGGGGGGTGGATGAGGACCAGATGAGTGAGAGATGGCTGGGGCAGTGCCCAGGGCAGACAGGAGAGAGGCGATGAGTGCGCACTGATGGGGGTCCTAGCACTGTCTCTGAAAGGCGGCACCAGCCTGGGGACTAGCGGTGAGCCTCAGGTCACCCCGGAACACAGAGAAGCAGGGGAGAAGCCCACTCTACAATGAGGAGGCCAGAAAATACCCCCCACGTGTCTGGGGGTTTCCCCGATACCAAGGCTGCGGAGTAAATAGACCGCAGGGAACCAGCAAGTTTGAAATACCGAAAAGGAAGTCGCAATCAGGGTCGAAAAACCGGTTTGGGTGCAGGCGTCGCCTGAGGCAGCGCGAGGCCCGGCCCTGAGACACCCCCAGGCCTCCCTCCGCGGCGCTGCAACTTTGACTTAGGCCAAGCCAGGCCTGGTGAGGCCTAGGTCCCGACAGGGGCCCTCTAGCCAGGAGGGGGCGGGGCATTGTCCTCTCTCTCTCTCTCAGGAATCCTAGCTCTTTCCGGGTACCCCTTTTTTTCCAACCCTGGGGTGAAGAGAAACACAATGACCGCACCTTTGCAACCCGCGAGCCCCACAGTGCCCCAGAGCCCACCAGACTCTCCAGATCAGCGCAACCCCGGCAAGCTCAAGTATGGCTCCAGCTCCGGCCCGCTCTACTCGACCCAAGCCAAGAGACAAACGGGTGTCACTCTGTACCCACCCCCACCTTCGCACCGTACAGCCCCTCCAGGATCTTCCCGGGCACCCTTAGCCCAGCACACACAGCCTGGCCTCTCCGGAAATGCGCGCCGCCCCAGCGAGTCTTCTCAACTCTAAAGCAGATCCTAGCTTGACTTCGTGCAATAATAAACACCGCTGTATTTGGGCATGGGCCGGGACGCGGGCGGGGACCTGCGAGGCTAGAGGAGGGTGGGCGGGGCGCGGACAGTAAAGAAAGAAAATACCCGCGTTCTAATCGCGGTTTGGAGAGGGACGCCCGGCCCAGGGCATTTGCAGACGTTTTCTACGACTCGGGAGGTTGTAGCCGCCGAACTCCCGCGGCGAGCCTCAGCCCCGCTCGGGCTCCGGCGTGGGTACGTCTCCTGGGCTCCTAGGGGAAGAGTCTGTAACTTGAGCCTAGGAAGGGGCCACCAGAGGAAGGAGCCGCGCGCTGGGGCAGATTTTCCGGGGAGCTCATGGCACGGGTCCTGGCGTCTGAGAGCGGATGCGCCCTCGTGCGGAAGCTCTTTTGGGAGAGGACAACTGGAGGCCGAGTGGAGGGCAGCCGAGCTGGGGAGACAGCCGGGCGGAGGTGTTGTCCCAGACAGCCAGATGGGGACACCCTGAAAGTGCCCTGCAGGTTCTCAGAGAAGCGCGTTCGTCTCCGTAGTAAGTGGGTGCCCCGCGACCTCCGACGGCCCTGGTACTTCAGAACGACCTCCAACGCTGGGGCCCAAGCAGAAACCGGGTTCATTGTGAGATGTGGGCGGTTGGCTCCATTCCCAGCTCCGGGACGACGCAGAGGTGTGCTCCTGGGTAGGCTGGGCGGATCCCACGCACCACGCGAATGAAGAGGCCTCAGGAAAAAAAGGAGCCCCTCCCCCTCCCCCGCAGACGCACAAACTGCGTCCATCCTTCCCCAGCTCCACCGGAGAAAAAAAAATCTCCGTGCACCAGCTAGCGATTACCTGTTTCATCTCTCCAAATATCTGCATCACTTTTCCAAGTGTGAAAGACAACTAACAAATTATATGTAATATAGATGTAGATTTCTACTGTATGGTAGTGCAGTACGTGTGAGATGGGTGAGGGTGGAAAGACAGACGCAGGACTTGGGCAAGTCACTCTTCTGTCAACCTGAAAACGCTCAGGAAGATAATACTAACAATTAGATTAATAAATAAATATTGATGAGCACTGCTATGTGCCATGTGCCAGGAGCCCTGGTGGGACAGTGGTTAAGAGTTCAGCTGCTAACCAAAAGGTCAGCAGTTCGACTCCACCAGCCCCTCCTTGGAAACCCTATGGGGCAGTTCTACTCTGTCCTATAGGGTCACTGTGAGTTGGAATAGACTGCAGCAAAGGGTTTGGGTGTTTTGTTTGTTTTGGCTATGTGCCAGCACCACTAAGTCATTCCATCCTGACAGCAACCCTAAGAAGTTGAAACCTTTGTCATTCCCATTTTGCAGTCCAGGAAACTGAGGCCCAGGAAGTTCACTCGCCTAAGGTGCACATGGAAAAGTGTTCCAAAGACAGGAAAGTAGTCCTATTATAATGGGTACCATGTGCGGACATTAAGGGCCTTGTGGAAGTTCTCTCACTAACCCTCACAGCAACTATGGGGGTAGGGGTGATGAATTCCCCCATTTTACAGATAAGGAAACTGTGGCTAGGCACAGAACACCCTGAGATCACAGAGGTAGTAAACGGCTTCGAAAGCAGGTCCTCCACATTTTGACATGCTCAGTCTGACATGTTCAGTCGGCCACAGGGGCTCAGAGACAGTGTGGTTTCTGCACAGTGGGGGGTAGCGGAGGCTCCCCAGAGAGAAGAAATATTCAGCAGCTCCAAAGCGTCAAGATTTGGGGCATTCTGTAAATGGAAACCCCCAGGATCCTCACTTAGGAATGCCACCCAAACTCAGAAGTCCCCCTTCCCTATCGCTTGGAAAAGATCAGGGGCAGAGTCTTCGGCTGCTTCTTGTGAGGTGGGGGGCCAGCCTGGAGTTTGGACACTGATGGCTGGTGGAGTCAGATGATGGTGCAGAGAGAAGCCCAGAGAGCTGGACAGGATTTTCCAAATCGCTGCCTTATTTATAGCTCACCTTGTTCCCAGAAATTATTTAAAGGGTCTAAACAGGCGCAGTTAGGTCACGTGCCCTCCCCTCAAGCGTTTTAGCCTAATGCATACAGGGAACTCAGATCAAAGAATCCTTTCTCTTCAGCTATCCAGACCATTCCTAACAGCTAACATAGTGAGTCCTCACTGCGGACAGGCACTATTGCAAGCACTTTTCCAACATACGTTAGGTTCATTAACGCTCACAATAACCTACTTGATGAGCTTATTGTTTTTCAGCTGTGAAACTAGCCCAGAACAGTTAGGTAACATACTGGAGGTCCTATGAACTCTGCTGGTAAGGGCCTGAGTTGGTTACCGCAGATTCAGCTGCCCATAAAAACAACTCCAGGCAGAATGAGATTTGGGGCTGGGGAGGCAGCTGGGGAAGGGGAGGGCTGAGGGCTTTGAGACTTGGGTCAAAGCGGCCACTCTGCCCTCCCCCCATCTCCCAGCCAGGCGGGCACAGACTGAGGTCCCCAGAGCACAAAGCCACACCCCAAGAGACTGTAGGGACAAGGACCCCTTCCCAATGGCCCCCAGCTCCATTCCCTTAAAAGGACCTTGGATACCAGCACCCTTGGCATCCCGCCAGCCCCCGTCCCCCA